TCACGCAGGTTAAGGATACCTCGAAGAACGTGGCTACAACGGCGGATTTCCTATGGAGTTCAACGTGTGGTGCTGGAAATGTGGGGGTGAGCTAAGATAGGCCTGTGTGATAGGCCAGTGCCATCAGGAGGACCGGCCCCAAAACAGTGACGGTGAGCTAGTGAGAAAGAAAGGCGATGTAGAAGCTGGGGGCATGGAACAGTGTGAAGAAAAGATAAGTCCACAAGGGGGTTCCCAAGATAGACATGTCTGYGGGGAGGAAAGCGGCAACGATGCATTTGAGAAATSTGATGAGGGAGTATGCAGTGATCATAAGAATGACRTCGTTCGGAAGATTAGAGAGGTYRATTCTCACAGTTCAGCRGGCGGAATAGTCAGTAATGAAAGGGGTAATGGTGGAACTGATGAATCTGTTGACATCGCATATACGGAGCAAACAAAGGATGAGGATCTGAGGAATGGAGGGGAGGATATCCACAGTTCAGGGAGGAGATGGGATTGGAAAATTCCTTGGTGTAGAAAGAGAGTTTTTTTTTTTTTTTTTTTGAGAGAGAGAGAGAGAGAGAGAGAGAGAGAGGGCACCACCATCTTGGAGTAGGGGAAGGTTTCAGGGTCCACGCTCCTCGCTGATGTTACATAGAGGTAGTGAGCATGACTTTTGAAAACTCTCATGAATGTTTGGGACGCTGGACCCGTTTTCCAGCAGGTGCAGCTCCCCACGAATAGACCGGAGCCATTGAACTTGTAAAAAAAAAAAGTGGTTTGCATTGTTAGAAGCATAACTGTCATAACATACTTTTTTTAAGTTTTTTTCAGATTTTTTTTTTTTTTTTTTTTAAATGGTTCGGACATTTCTGGACCTGTCCAGACATCCGGATCTTCCCCAGAAACTACCAGACACTCGTCCGGTTCCATGTCCGAAAATGCCCGGGTCCGGGTCCTACGTAGCCATGACTGTGTGTCTCAGTCCATGTTTGGCAGGTCCTCACATTTTTGCTTTTTTCTTTTTTTTTTGCCAGGTTCTTTTTTCATTTTCTTTTTCTTTTTTCTTTTTTCTTTTCTTTGCCGGTTTTTGTTTTCTTTGTGGGCACCAGAGTGACCACACATCACTTTTCTGTTTCTCGTGGAGCACAGAGGACTCGTCCAGGACCACGTCCGCTTGTCCAGGGTCTGTCATGCCAGTAGTGTGCATGGCCGTAATGAAATAACCACTGGTCCAACAGAGCTGCGCCGTAAACCGTAGAGAGAGAGGGAGAAGAGGACAACAAACGAGGGGCTGTGACAAACTGTTTCGTCAGAGCTTCACCGACTCGTGAGGGAATGGATCCTCAAGAGTCTGCAGAATCCCCTAACCGATTACACTGTAAGTGATAATCCACCTTAACCCCGGTTGTGGTTAAGCATCAACGACTGCCCGACAACTGATACCCTGAGGTGGGCACCGACCACTGCCCTCAAGGTAACTGTGACGAAAATCAATATATATATATCTATATATCGTCACAAACAGAACTGCCCGGTAAAACCGTAGGCAGAGAGAGAGAAGAAGACAACAAACGAGGGGCTGTGACAAACTGTTTCGTCGGAGTT